AGCGAATTGCTAATGGTAAGTTTACCCCACTAGTGTAAAGTTTACCCGGCGGTCAACTGAAACAAACAAAGCACTCTGATTGGTCATTTTGGGTAAAAATTACCCTCATCTGGTAAATGTTTTTAGTGCATATTGTTTTTCATAAGGGCACAATGTTTTAGACATGTGTTAATTATAGAAACCCGAATATTGTGTCTGATCTGTTCTGTAGATCTGTTATGATTTGAAATAGAGACAAATGTCTTATCTCTTCTCCTCAAATTTCATATCATATCAACCTCCAAATAATATAATATAAGAATAATAATTATACATTAATTGAAGCTCTCCCATAGGAGCTTTTCAGCCATAATGTAGACCAACTAAGTGCTCAAAAAACCCCACTGGCAGAAGGTAGACCAGTGGGGTATTTACAGAGTGCAGCCGAGGAGTTGAACTAGGGGCAACCGAGAACAAATCTAGTGAGTGGCAGGGTGGAGGACTTGAACCCAGGCCACCGGATTACAAGTCCAGTGCTGCTAACCACTTGGCTACGCTGCCTCTCTCCCCAAATCTAAAGAGGCACATGATAATGCATAATACTTCAACTTGTAATAGTATTAAGCATCTAATTCTCCAATAACACCACCCCTGAATCAAAAATTACAGTCATGAGAAAAAGGAAATGATTGCAAACTCAAGGATCAGAGCTCTTGATTGTTAGACAAATTCTCCTTGTATGTACCATAGGAAAATGTATCAAGAACATTATGGAGAACTTGTATTTACTGATGTTAGGGTGAAGTGTATCTTATCATTACATAATGATTCAATTTGTACCATAATCTCCTTGATATCCCTGTTTCTGAGCTGATCCAGGGGATCAAGGAAGTTCTGTTTGACAGTATTGTCAAGTGCTTCTTTAATTTCAGCTAGATTTGAAAAGGCCTCCCCAGCATCCTGAAGGGCTTGGCCTGAAGAGAAATTTAAGCCATAGCACAATTATATTAGTTAACTTTTTGTAGAATCATATCATTGAATAAAATCTCGCATTCTGATTGGTTAATGAAGCAAGGTATTTAGCAAGGAATTGTGAGTTGAAAATGAGACTGATACTGTTTCACATCTACATATACATAACAACTATAAGTAATGCTGTTTTCTTTTTTTCTCATTTTTATTCAATTATGCATATCAAGGAAAATTCACAACTTGACTTGTGAATTTGGCGTTAAATTGCACTTGAAAACCGACGTCGCACTCATCGCTTTGCCATTCATGTGATATCAGTTTTTGCATGCAATTTAATGCAGAATTCCCTTGTCAAGTAATAAATTTTCCTAACAATGTTTAGGCAAAGGCTAGTACTTTGAGCACAAGTCAATATTAAACATCTTCATGTGGATTCTCTGAGTTAAAGTTTCATCAGAGAACAGAGAAACAGAGACAGATGTGAACACAGGGTACATATACAAGCATCAATTTACTTTGTCTTGTCTTTTCTTTCTTCTTTTCCTCATTAGTCAGAGTAATTACAATTATCTGTACTTTCAAATAACAATCAAATGTCAATAATGAAAAATGCTTATGCCCATAAATATGAAAATAAAGTTTAAATGAAAAAGTTAAACGCTTATATACATGTATACCTTGCAGTATCAAGAATGGCGAGGTGTGCAAGTATTAAAGGAAGGGAAAGTAACCATCTCTGATACAGGTACTGTGTTCATTGAGTGAGCGTACTAAGTAAATCAGTTACATGCAAATGTTAGTCTATTTACCGAAGAGTGACTCATCACCCAGCTCCTGGCCACCTTTTTGCATGGTCTCTCCAAGAAGGCCCTCTGGTTGAGGGTACCTTGACACTTTGGCTTCACCTCTCACTTTGTGTACGGTAGATTGCATTGTAAGCTTGGCCCGTGCAGCTAAAAAGTATATTACATAAAAGTAAAAATGTGGTAAAAGCAGAGAGAAACACAACTCTTCTCAGAAACCAAGATTAATTCACCGTGTACATGAACACCTCTTACTAACTGAGTTTGAGGTCTGCACTTTAAGTTATAGAGTTTTTCACTTTCAGATTTATAGCCCAAGCATGAACTGCACAGGTCATAAATCTGAGTATTAAAAACTAGGTTCGGAAAAAAAATACAGTGTATGGTACAGACTACAAAAACAAGATTAGCAAGGTATTTATTCTATCTCTGGGTTCAAATAGAGGAAGGAGATTTCAATTCAAGCTGACCATTGAATTAAGCAGGCCATAATTAGTTCTTATTAACTCAGTGGGAGGTCTGTATGGGAGAATCTTGACCAAGGTCGCCAGTACAGACCGAACGCAGAGAGGTCTGTACCAGCGACCAAAGTCAAGATTCTCATATACAGACCAACCTAGCTCGGTTAATAAGATGTTTATGATATGGCTGTATCCTATATGCCATTTTTTTGTATTCTTTGTTCCTTTTTTTCCTAGACCAGTCTAGATGGGAAAATCTAGACCGCTTTCAATATTGATTTCAGCCAATCAAATTCGTGAATTCGGTAGTTCCAAGTCCTTGTGAGACAGCCATACAATAAAGTGAAATACGACCTGCTAAATTGAGCAATCACAGAGCACATACTAACTGGGAGAGATAATAGTTTTGAACATGTTCCTCTGAAATGCTACACTTCCAGTTTACAATGCACTGTATACTGAGTACCTGGGTTAGGCTGAAGGTATTCTTTTGTTTTACTACTAACATGATCCACCAGGTTTGCAGTAAGATCTGTTTTCTATACAAAGAGAGCAAAACAAATGGAATGAATGAGCTTCCTGAGGAGTTACATGTGTGCATCATCATATAAGTAACACAAACATAAGATATTTTTTGCCACTCAAAATATGTAAGAGTGGCAAAATATTATTTACAAATTTCCTTTAACTTACTATACTTCAATAAAAGTTCATTATTTTATAAAGTGGATCCTTCATTTAGTCTGTTCAATTTACCCAAAATTAGTCTTAAACTTGTATTAAATTACAGATTGGTCAACTCAGTTAAATACATCTTTCACTTAATGTACAGAGCTGTTCCAAAATAATTATGCCCAGATTAAACAGTGGGTAACACAAATGGGAAACACATTTCTTTAGCCCAGTGCTAGAGATGAAAAAAATTTATGAACAGACCTCTCAGTCAGATCAAAACTTCCTTGCTTTTAACCCTATCCCTCCAAAAATACAAATTATGACTTATCAGAAGCTGTGCAAGTGGGAACAGCTGGAGATCTCATAAATAGTCCTCCTAATAATATTTTAAAACAATGAACATTTTTTTTTAAATTTACTCTGAATTTATCGCAACAGCCAAAAATTCTAAATTTTCCACATAAAGATAACAAGCTTACCCCTTATACATAAGACTTTTTGTCTTCTAATTTCATTTTCTTTGCAGCGGGGAGGGGGGGGTTCGTTATGTTCCAATTTGGTTATACTTCATGAACAGGTATGGTACATAATATTATTTTTCCTTTGAGGAAACCAATAGGAATTCTTTTATTACCTTTTCCAGACTTTTCAGAAAAGTACACTTATATCTAAAAAACCGATTTGTTGAATCCAAACAAATTTTTCATCATAATTTTCCATCACATTCTGCACATCACCATCGATTTAGAGTGCGATTTTTGCAAAATACTCGGTAAAAATAAAGCGACCGTATGGGTCTTCGAATCGCGTTCGATTCGTTGATGCTGTTTTTTTTTTCCTTCAATTAATTCAACATCATCCTTTTACATAATAAGAAGATTAAAAACTCAATTATACGTAATATCTAAGTTTGTAAATTGAGCAAAAATTAATGCGATAGAATATAGGTTTTCCTTTTAATAGTAATGAAAACGAGGAGAGAATAAGCTTACAGGAAAATTGAAAAACTACACACCTGCCCTCGAATTTCCTCATGGTGGCATTTTTTTAAAATGATTCATTTTAAACTGCATGAAATGAATATAGCTATGAGACTACTTAAAATTTGCGGGCATAAAAATCAATAATTATTGTTTTGCTAGCATTCCGATAATAACAAGCGCTACTTGCAAGTTTCGATCCAAAAACGAACATGTATAGAACAATAGATATTTTGCAAGTCATTACGAAACAATAGGAAATTGAAGTTTAACTCTCGCTGGGCAAAACATTCGTAAATTTAAAATAATTTGAACTATTCAGTGGCACAAGAAACTGAAAATCTCATAACACGCCGTTTATCGGTAACATCGGTGTGTCAAATTTTTCATGGCGTCAGCGGTTATTGTATCTTGTGTCAAGTTCCTTTTGGCACTTATGGAAAGGGTTTCAAAACAAAATGGATTACAACTCAGCTACAAAAAGAAATTAGAAGGTTGCCCCAGGTTCTGCGAGGTTACGAGGTAGAGTATTATTTCTTAATAACAGAGATAAAATTATTTTAAAAAAGGTGATGTCTTTTGTAAACACTGAAGGTTACTTATGCAGTTCTGCTTACAAGTAGAATTTAACGGCCAGAAAGGGAAAATACATATGGGCAGAGCCTGGGGTCAGTTTCATAACCCTTGAAAGGCAACTTACTCTTTCCAGCTCCACAAAATCTTCTTCTAATTTCGATCCTTTGGCACCACCAATCTTCTCGCTCATGAACTATTATAGAACAAACGGAAATCAAAGTTGATAAGGTTTGTGAAACCTGAACGCGATCGCGAACACGTACGAAGTTGTGCCGTGAAATACTTATTAAAGTAGTAAATTACTACTCGCCCATTGCCCTACCTGATTCGCCTTGTTAATCTGTTTTTTGAACCCTGCTAATGACATGATGACTGTACTCTGATCTTTGAACTACTTGATCGTCTTTTTAAAACGGTTTTGAAGTGCAACACACGTCTAACGACGAAAATAACTCTTGAATCAGGCAAGTCACGTCGACTGCTCTCACTTCCTTCGACGGAGAACCTGGGCTTTAGTCACATGACTTAAAATGGCGGATGATGACAATTTCGAAAGCCCGCGTAAATCAGTTAACTTGATCGTGTCTTCTTCTTGTACTCGCTATATGGGAGATCTTCCGCAGTTAAAATAATCGGTTGGAGGTCAAGGTGGTGACATGGGGGACAAATGTCAATGGTGTTCTCTAGTGTGCGCAATTTGCCGCATAGGGTGCTTTCGAGTACGTACAGCTTAAATCTATTTAACATATCTTTTTTTGATATTATAATGATCAATAAGACTTTTGATCATGAAATTATTGTAGTTTTATTTGCAAGCTGGAACTTGAATTTCGAAAAATAACTCAATCAACGTTAACGTCATTACAAATGAAAAAGGAGATGAAAAGGTTGGAATGAGGTCGAGAATAGTAAACTTGTTTAGTTCTGTCCGAATCGAAGTACTAAATTAACTTAATTACTCTTGCTGAGTTCTATCCTCTTGCTTATAATCCTCTTACTAATCGAGTTCGAGGTCTGTACTACTTTAAGTTACGGAACCTCAATTTTAACGCTCGGATTTAAGGCCTGTGCGCTTGATTGCGCTTGGGCTATAAATGCAAGTAAAGAAAAAAAACAAAACAAAAACAGAAAAACGCAATCTGTTACTTGACAGTAACCTTAAGAAAAATAAGGAACTTTACTAATTTTAAACTACGGAAACATTTGGTAGAAACATTAATTCTGTCTAAAATAAGCTACTGTGACATTGTTTTTTATCCACTACCAAAGTTCCTCTCAGCTAGACTACAAAGGCTCCAGTTCGCTATGGCTAGTTTCATCACTTGTAAATATGTAAACAGTATATCTACCATTTTGGATCTTGGCTGGCTACCTATCCTGGAGCTAAGAGACTACTCGCTACTAAAGACTATTTTTAAAGCACTGTATTCTGATAACTGGCCCTCCCATTTAAATTTGCAAGTCGTAAAACCCATTAGGCATCTCCATTCCAGTGTTGCTCCAAGGCTTTATGTTCCATTTGTACAGGGCACCTTTCAGCATTCAGCAGCCATGATTTTTAATGAATTGCCAGCAAATATAAGGAATTGCACAGATTTTAAAGAATACTGCAGGCTCTGCAAGGTGTTCTTAAAGGCGCGCACTTTGTCTTCCTTGTAAAGATATAGAAACAACCACCACCACCAACCAATATATTCTGCATAATTTACTTTCATGTATAGTTTTTATTACAATTTAGTTAGTCATTATAATTTAGTTTTAATATTAAATTTTAGTATCGTAGACCTTCACAGAAGAGCCAGACCTTTTTATGTAGATATACTGTGAATAAACCGTTATTATTATTATTATTATTCGAATAAGTAAAGATTTGGTAAAACATTTGACAATGAAAAACTGCGATAAAATATTATAAAGCATGACAATAATGTTCAATAATGTTTCAACGCATTGCTGATCATCGATACTCTGCCATTGGTCGCCACCTGAGAGATGCCCATGGGAACATTGACTTACTCAATGAGAGCCAGTTTAGAATGCTTAAAAAATGCGGCACGAAATGGGATTGTCTTGTTTATGAAATGTTGTACATAAGAACAATAAGGCCCAATTTAAACACCCAGAGCGATTCCATTAGGGCTAAACTCTTTGTTTAACTTTCAACGTTTTGTAATTTATTCACCGCTTCATTATATATATACTCGATTTTATTATTTTAGTTTACTTGATAATGACGTTCTGGAAACGTCAAAACGTCGTGTCATGCTTTATAATATTTTATCGCAGTTTTTCATTGTCAAATTATTACTATTGTTATTATTATTTGGATCGATAAAAGGAGGTTAGATATTAATTATATCTCTCAGTTCAAATAGAGGGAAAGATTTCACTTCAACAAACTTATTAGTTTAGCAAGGCATTAAGTGAAACATTGCCTGCTAAGTAGACCAAACATATCACACATACTAACAGAGATAATTATGCAGTAATAATTTATCAATAAGACGGAAATTGTAGATTATCACTTTTAATAAAAGAACATCATGTTACTTTACTTCCCTAGGTTTTATGGCAGGGAGGCGGGGATTTGAATTTTTTTTTTTTTTTTTTTTGCTAATTGCTAATTCTATTTTGTGAAGTAACAATTCACACAGCAGACATATTAAATATTCAAAAGTTTTTGTTTTTAATGAAGATATTTGGGAGCATGCACGTATGACTGGGTCTTTCTTTTCTTCCCTTTCCTGTCCAGCAGGTTGGATCTACATCACAGTTTAAGTAGGGGGTTATTTTCTAGAGAGATTTTATTGGCTGCAGAGAAATAATTAGCAAAAATATGTTTGTTTTTTTTTTTAACTAGATGTGGCCAATTATGGGATAAAACAACTCAATGGTTTTCTAAAAACAACCCTGTGTCTAAAAACTACCTCTTCCCCACCCCCATATAGAGAGATTCTATATAACCATCCCACTTTGATATAATTTGTTTCATGTACCAGGAATTTGGGTCAGTTGGCCCACAAATATCTCCTTGCAAAAGAGAGACTTCATCCTGAAAACCCATTCTAACAACTGAAATATACAGAACTGTTGTATTTTACATCGCATAGTGTTACCAAACAATCTGCTGCAAGGAACCTTCAGCACCAAAGCCATCGTACTCTGTGATTGCAATTGGACTTAGCCAGGCTGGCAAGTCAATGCTGTTTGCAAAGCTGAGTGGAGACACATCTGAAGAACTTAAACCGACTGTGGGTAAGCTCTATTTGTGAGTGTCTAATAAGATTTGAATATCCATTTCAGTAAGACCTCTTGTTGCAACGATTAAATCACCCCTGATGAAGAAGGCACTAGACAGGAGTGTTGAATTGTAATTCCCCAGTTACATTCATTTTAATCCTTAAACAAGAGTAGCATCAAACCATCTCTGATTCATTTCAGGTTTATCACTCAGAGTTGACATTTGTTTTATGACTGAAGAAGGATAATTAAAGAGATCTTTGTAAATGCCTATTGACCATTTTACTCCCTGATTCTTGAAAAGGATTCTCCCAACTTGCTATGTTGCATCATGGGTTAGTGGGAAGAATTTGGTTTTAGGTCAGGGCAATATCCCCTATTTCTGAGTCTGAGATATCCATGACAAACCCCCTTTGACTGTTTGATTCAGTTCAGGAAATTTTCTACCAAAAAAGTGATTGGCACATAGTGTTACTAAATCCATTCAGTAATACACATAATTATTTCTAAACTTGCCATGGTAGGATTCTCTGTGAAAGCTGTCCAATTACCCAGTGCCATTCTAAATATTAAAGAACTTGGAGGTGAGTATATGACTTCAAAGTTAGTACTAACAATATGTACCTTCAGTGATTAGTAACCGTTGCCCTCAACAAATCACATCTAATACCCATGTCACCTTAACTCCCAGATGTGATTAACATGAAACTTCTCTGTATCATATCCATACATTATCCAGCCAACAGGTATTGAGAGTATTCAAACTTATCAGGTAGAAGTTGTTACCCTGATCTCACATAAAATTCTCATAATCAATCTACAAGGAAATGTGTAGCAGTTAGAGGGGAGAATTAACAATCCGAGATCTTGGTAGATAAAGGGTTAATACCTTAACACAAGTCTGCCTATTCTCTGTAGATTTCCTAAGATGCTGGCAAGAATTTGTTTGAAAATCAAGAGCTTCTTTTAGTGGGTGATCATTTCCTTTATTCTCCTGACCTTAATGTGTGATTCAGGGGTGATATTGTGAGGAGAAATTAGATTCAAATCACCCTAAAGGTGATCTCTCAGAAAAAAAAAATTGTTAAACAAGTTTTTAAACTTTCCGTAAGTGTTCCTCACCAAAGTCTGTTTTTAAAAATGCAATACTGAAAAAGATGGTCACTGTGCTTGTTTAAGAGATATGATGGGCCAATCTTACCCAATTGTACTGGGGTAATTCATCAGTTCACTGTAAATTTTCAGTGGCTGGAAGCTAGGGTTTCTAAAGTGGCACTTAAAAAGCTTGAAAGGCAGAAAGTTGCAAACAAATTGATAAATAATTTGTGGAAAAATCACACAATTTTAAATATCATCAACTCAAAACATTCCTCATTTGTTCATGAATTTATCTAACTTTGCACAATAGGTGGAGACAATGTCAGAAAGTACTGGCCACACTATTTTGGAGGAGCTGAGGGGATAGTAAGTGAAAAAAATTGAAGCTTTAATATTATTTTAAGGAATACAGGACCTTGTCCATGTTTACATGGACTCATCGTGACACAAGGGGGGCTGGGAGAATTCAAGAAAGTTATGCAATCCCAAGATACAGCTGGCAATTCTGTTTGCAATTATACTCATGATCAACAGGTTAGACTCCAGGCCCTGGTTGAGGGTTTATAGGTTGGAATACACTATCAACTGGATAAATCTCTGTCTGGTGGATAGTGTTGTAGGTTTTATTATCACTTTTCCACTGGATATGTAGATTACTTCGTGGTTGGCGAATGAGAACGATTTTAATGGAAAACTTTGAAGCCATGATTCTGGACAAGCAGGAAACGTTGCAAACATTCACTCTCAATTACTTTGCATGGCCATCCTGAAAGGCAGGAAACACCGAAACGATTTTTCTCACTTGTGAAAAAATCACATCAGGCTTCTGATTGGTCATATGATACTTTTCACCAGGGAAAAACATCATATGACCAGTGGGGTTGCTTCTCATCAAAGAGAGACAATTTTCATTTGGCGAGTTTGCACAGAGTAAATCTCATTACTTATATGATAAAGTGATTTATCTGTTGGACAGTATTGTATGCCCTTTATACAACTGGGCCCTGCTGTATGGGTGTTTAATATTGTCAACCTCTCCTATGATTACAGACTGATTTGAACTCTCTTTTTAAATATAGGCCTGGTACCAATGAATGTATTTGCGTTAAATTTCTGGATGGATGTAGTCACTTATACTAGCCTTTGTTGAACTGGATACATCATGTGCAAACCATTCTAAAAAAATGAGATTAATTGATACAGTGGGTCTGATTTCCAGTCACTAGGCAGGAAGTGAGCCTTTGCGCCTTTCTCTTCCTGGGAGGATGAAAGTTAAGACCGCACCCAAAAAAAACAGCTAGTAGCTGAATAACGTTGAAAAGAATAAAATAACCCTTCGCATGAAAAGGCTGTTGCTTATCAAACAATGAAAGATGTTTATTTTGGGTAATGGGCTCCTGGCATTTTTGAAATAAGGATCATTGAGTAAATATTGAAATTCAATTCATTAACTGATAATTTGCAGGTGTTTGTGGTGGACAGCAGTAGCAATGATGATGATGTTGATTTAGCGGGAGCAGAATTACAAGATGCCCTGTCCCACTCCTCCTTGGAGTCCCTTCCTCTACTGGTCTTAGCCAACAAACAAGATGTGACTGGAGCCCGCAGTGCAGATGAGGTCAGCTGCTTATGATCTGTTGGATGAACTAAGATGCACAGATGAAATCATCAAATAACAATTTTTTTGCCTTGTTATCATAAACAAAAAACAAACGCACGTATTTCGATTATAGTTCATACTTATGATCTACTGGAGAACAGAAGCGCGGATGACATCACTATTAATAATTATTTTGCTTTGTTAACATAAAAAAAAACAAACAAACAAACAAACCAGTAGATTCCATGTTGCCCTGAGTCTGTACAGAAAACGTCAAAATGTGGCAGGAAAATCACTTAAACTATCTGCTGCGTCTCTTGTGCCACCTTTGACGTCACCTGTGATGGATCTATTGCTGAACAGACGGACGGCAAAATGCTGTTTATTTGTTAACTTCTTAGTAGACTACAAGCCCCTTCCCCTCCCCCTCCCTTTCAGTCCGTCGCGCGAGTAAAAAAAATTGCTGTTAGCGCGCCGTGGGGAACTCTTGGAGTGACGCCGATACGCCGCAGGAACTCCATGATTTTTCACGATTTTTTTTTTTTTTTCTTACTCACGCGACGGACTTCGCCGAAAAGGGGGGACTACCCGTAGTTTTAACTGGTTAGTGAATACGGCGTCTTAAGCTTATGCAAATGGTTGATTTTTTATTTGCGTTACGTACTTTCTTTCGATTCCCAGCTATCGAGGATGATGGGATTAGACGTCATTTCACGGAAGAGGAATTGGCACGTACAAGCGTGCTCTAAAGACGACACGGAAAGTGCTAAACAAGGACTGAGTAAACTACTGTCATTCATCAATCCTGACTCGGAAACATCAGAACAAAATAGATTATGAGCTTAGACGAGTGTCTCTCGACCAACAAAAGAAATATTTGGAACCGGAACACATCTTAAATGAGAATGATTTCGTATTTAATTTGATCGAATTCTGTGTTTCGATCTTCGGAAGTTGTTTGTAAAGATATTTGCGATATTAGTACTACTATTATTAATTGTATCATTATCATTTTCGTCATAATCATTATCTCCACATTTTAAATCAAGAAACGATAAATGTAACCTTTATTTAAACAGCTTAATGTTGTTTTGGATGATAAAATTGGCGCAAAAAATTTCCTTTCGGAGAAAGAAGAATTGTTTTAAGCCTAAAGTTGAACTTTTCTCTTCGTGGCTGCGATATTGCTTGAGGATTCTACGATGTTTCTAATATATGTATGCACCCATTCATACTCGCGAATTGTGTGTGCACTTCACCCGTTCAGATCGATTTCCCGGGCTACTGCTAACAGCAGTTTCTTGCTTCTGACTCCTAAACCCGACTGTTTGATTCATTTTACATCTGCATTCGCGCATTAGCAATTAAACTCAAGTAGGTTTTTGTTTGGCAGAGGCCATCTTTTACTATTCTTTAAATGTTTTTAGACATTTTTGTCATCTTCATAAGTTGTAGCATCCTCAGTAAATTGCGGAAGTCGTTCGAACATCTTCTGTAGTTTGCAGATTTCGTGAAAACATTTCCATAATCCCGACGGGGTTTACGGAAATCTCACATTAACAACATTTAAGCTGGCATTAGTGAATATGTTAGAAGCTAGAAACTTGTAAAATGCGTTGGGAATGAACAGCTATGAGTTGAAAAATGTCGAGACTTCTGTTTCAGATTTTTTTCCTCGTACGGAAAGAATATCTGCATCCATGGAATGTTACCTGTGTTTTAAATTGTAGTTTCTTCGAACCGATTTCATCCCAAAACTCATCTACAATAGCATAAGCTAAAATGTACGTATACGAATTAAGTTAATTTATTCCTGTAAAAATGTATAAAAGTGGAGGGAAACAAGGAAATGTCTTAAGCTCCAATCTTTTGGAGAACTAAATGACTTGTTTGGTGTGTAAACTCGAGGTGTCGTATGGCGAGGTCAACTTCCTCATTTCAGAATCTCCTTAATTCCAACTAAGTTGTCGGTACGACCAAGTTTTTGTCATGTCTTGACATGTCCGACAGTAATCTGGTGAATAGGGTCTCTGGTTATCAATATCCGTAACGCTCTTATAAGCACACCCGACTAATATTTGTTCCCCTGTTCAGAACTTCATGTTCCTATCAAGGCCAGCCACGTCTCTTTCCTCCCAACTAAAAGCTCAAATATTGCTATTAGTCTGGGCTGCGAAGGATTTTATTAAGAAGTGTAATTGTGGTTTAGAACCTTCCTTAGCCTCCGTTTTAGAAGGTTTTTCAACTAAACTAATGTATCCTTAAGGGTTTATTAGAGACTACTTCAGATAATTCGGTGGAATACATGCCTATTTATTCAGTTATTTGTACATAATTATATAACACTTCTAGGGCTGTTTGCCCAGGCGAGTGCTTTCTACTACAGTACTTTTCCGTAATCTTGCAGACTTTGTGTTCCTACTTAATTTCTAATACAGTAATATTTACCCTCAATAAAATTATTTACGAAATGAGGACTAGATTTTGTTGTCTTTCCATGCTATGATCAGAATTTACCATTATTAGTGCCCCGTAACACCGAGAAGTGGCCTTGATGGTTAAAAAAATTCTCTTTGTTGATACTATAGGAAATATGAAGAAAGCATTATGGAGAATATCCATACTGATGTTATGGTGCAAAGGCTCTAGCCACAGTCGAACCTCGCTCAACCAATTACTATAAAAAAAAAAAACTCTTAAATCGATTGACTTCCGGCCAGCATCGATTCCTATCTTAATTTGATATGATATACACAAGTCACTCAAAATTCTGCGACACATTCGTCCTTCAGTTGAGATGGCTTACAAACAAGCGTTTTGTCTTTCCTTCATGATTTCCGATTTTTTTCTTCTGTAACAAGCGCTTACACCGGTCTCTCTAACAATGTACGTGTTGTTTATTTTTTAAAACTACTAATCTGCTTACCTATCTTTATTTCTTGGCCTTTTGTCTTCAGTTACTCGTTTATTAATTTGAGTATTTTACGTGACTTTTAAGACTTTTCGTTCACCCTTCAGCTAACCTGGAAGAAAAAGAACTTCTCGGAAAAAGGAAGGCTGCTCTTCCTTCGGGCTCACTGACTCGAAGGGAGGAAGCAAAACGTCTTGCGACGGAAATTGTACCAACACGTACCCGGATATTTGTTGTGGCTATAAAATGACTGACAAGATTAACTTTTAATCAAATGAACAGCGCTGCGGTGCAAGTACACTCTACTCTCTGTCAATATAGTAACGACGGTTGTTACAGCCCAACTTGCAAAAAAAAACAATAGGTATTAACTATTTACATACATTACTGAGGTGTCATCAATCTGTTTTGGTTCGCTACGCGTAAATTTTGCAACTGGTATAGGCAGGGATAACCTTGGATTTTCAGCGTCTTCTCGAAAACCTCTTTGGATAGAATCGGCGTTAAAATGGTTTGGAGGGTCAGTAAAATTCTCGCCACATTATTTCTTCATATAACGTTGTGTTTGAGTGTTCCACTGAGCGATTTTTATCCATATGGAGTCAGCAAAGGCGATACTGCACTTCCGCCAAATGACGACGGCGGTTCAGGAAAAATACCGATCTCAATTCGCTTTCCGTATTTTGACAAGAATCACGGTTCCTTATATGTAAGTACGCAGTGTTTTAATTTACTTTTGAGTGTGATTTATTTTTAAACTCAGCGGTAAATTTTACGAGACTTTTTCTTTAAATAAATACTGAAAAGCCTGCATTTTAATCGACTTCGATTGTACATGATGTCGCGCTAAATGTTTCAAAATTGAAACTCACGGACTGTATGAAAGAGTTTCTCCTTTCCTTACTTCAGTGAAAATTCTAGTGAGAATTGTCTATTCATAATGTCTCTGATTTCTAGTTTGTTTTATAAAATCGTCATGAACTACTCGCGTGACACTTGAAATATTTTGTCGGAACCACCGTTTGTCTCGCTTGATTAAATATAACTGAAAGCTATACTGATCAATAAAGTATTCAGACGACTTTACTTTAAAAGTCAATCGTTTAATTTTGAGCCGAATGATACAAGGTTGCTCGTTTATTCCTTCATATCTTCACTACCCAACAATATTTTTAATTGTTTGAATTTGTTTGATTACTCCAATACGCCACAGATGACCATTTTACCTTACGCATGTGGTACACCTGTGGTGTGACTCACGAGATATATCAGGAACTTCCTGCACACAAATCATCGCGATTTTAAGAGAAGACGAATAGAACGCAAGCAAACAACGAGAAAAATTATCGAATTCAGTATACAAGACTTTACATTTTCATTTTCAACCAGATTGTGAATTGAAAGCATGCGTGATGGTCGGGCAGGCGCGACAGTGTGACAGTGACATTTACTTGAATGACGTCAATTTTTTTCAAGGATTATTTTTCAGAGCCACGTAACTACCCAAAGAAAATTTATAAATAAGAGAGTACAATAATACTTTTAGAGGCTATAAAAGCGCAAGGTTAAGCTTTTAAATAATCCGAACGCAAGCAGCAAAATCAAGAATCCATTCAGATTAAGCAAATCTGTGTGACCTCTCCGTTAAAGCACATGTTATATACGAGTCAGAGTTATAGTTAGTATAAATCCATTAGCGTTCTTTCACAAATACTGTAATCTGACAGGCTAGGCAACTCGCTATCTATTTTAGACTTTTAGAACAATCAGATTTATATAAGCTCGAGATTTCTATTTAAACAATAGAGTGTTTCTGTCTAGGAACTATAGTTCCGAGACGTAAACACTCTATTGTCTTTATTGTTTACTACTACATTTTCTTCCGCGCGCCAGTTGAAAAACAGTCAAAACCCACTAAATGTAGATCAATCAAATATTTATTCATGCGTGCAGTCTGTCACAAATGTCAATAATTCACAACCGTACAGTGGCTAACTAATAAGTTATACCGATCAGAACTGAAAAGTCATTGTTTTTCGCGACCGTCAAACCATTCAAAATTTTTCACGGATGGGTACTATCCGTCCGGGTATTTTTCGCGGACGGGCACTATTTAGTTCTCATTAACCGAGCGGGAGGTCTGTATGGGAGATTATTATATGGCTGTGTCTCACAAGGACTGGGAACTACCGAATTCACGAATTTGATTGGCTGAAATCAATATTGAAAGCGGTCTAGATTTTCCCATCTAGACCGGCATTTAGACCGGTCTAGAAAAAAAAGGTACAAAGAATATAAAATATTGGCATATAAGACACAGCCATGTAATATACATCTTATTAACTGAGCTAGGTCGGTCTGTATGGGAGAATCTTGACCTCGGTCGTTGGTACAGACCTCACTGCGTTCGGTCTGTACTGGCGACCTCGGTCAAGATTCTCCCATACAGACCTCCCTCTCGGTTAATAAAAACTAAATCTTGACCGAGGTCGCGAGTACAGACCGAACGCAGTGAGGTCTGTACCAGCGACCGAGGTCAAGGTTCTCCCACACAGACCGACCTAGCTCGGTTAATAAGATGTTTATTATATGGCTGTCATATATGCCAATTTTTTATATTCTTTGTACCTTTTTTTCTAGACCCGTCTAGATGCCGGTCTAGCTGGGAAAATCTAGACCGCTTTCAATATTGATTTCAGCCAATCAAATTCGTGAATTCGGTAGTTCCCAGTCCTTGTGAGACACAGCCATATAATAAGGGCTGACAGTGTCTCTCCACGGATAAACACCATCGAGTCACGTGATCAACTTAAACCGATAAGAATTGGAGAAAATTTAGTGGTGAATTATAACGGTCTGATAGTTGCCCTGCGGAAATTTGATGATCTTCAAATAAATATTTGCCAGTGAGGCGAAGCTTCGAGGGCAAATATGCTCGACAGAAACTCTCTGTTGCCTGTAGATAGGTAGCGAGTATCTCAGCTAGTCTGATGGAACATGGGTCACAGATGTTCAGTCGACCAACCAAAAGGAAAAGAGAGGCGGCCTCATAATGTTTGATTTATTTTTTTTTTCTATGTTAATGCTTATCGCCCAGCTGAATTTCCTTTGATGTAATCTGTCAGCAGATTTTTTTTTAAAGCACATAAATTATAATACATGGCGGTGTTCATTTAAATTTACCAGCGGAAGCTGTGCGGAATCGTATCTTGTATGACTTAACAACGTAAAGACCCTTTTTGGAGGAGTATCGACTTTAAAACTATCTCTGCATCATTTATTTTACCTTTGGTCTGAATTTAAACTATTTTTATTTCAAATTTTACCTGTATTTTCTGATTTCAGGTGAACACAAATGGAGTTATCTCATTTCTGGTCTCAGTGAGTCAGTACACCCCAGCTCCATTCCCCCTGGGGGATAACCGACGCCTTATTTCCCCATTTTGGGGTGACGTGGATACCAGGAATGGGGGAACTGTACTATACAGGGAGTCCACAGACCGTGTATTGCTGGACCGAGCTACAAAGGATGTTCGACGGGCATTCTTAAATCATCAGAAATTCTCAGCCTCGTGGGTTTTCATTGCGACTTGGGACAGAGTGGCTTTCTTTGGAGCTGGAGGAAACTTTAAGAACAAGGTAGTGATTCGATCGCTTTCGGCCCAATTGAGATTTAGAGACAAAGGAATAATGATAATAATAATTTTATAAAAATCGCTAAAAAAAGGATAACGAGCTAATTGTATTTTGAAATACCAGTCGATGAAAACGTCTTTAGAGTTCTTAAGGGAAGTTGTGCTTTTAGTCGTCATACTCAATACATTACAATTCAATACAATACAGTGCTTTATTCAAGAGAAGAAAATCAAAAATTACAAAAATGTCTTTCAAAAGGAGATATCTAGAGGTCAACCCTATATAAAAGATTCACCGAAATAAAGAAATAAAAAGATAAACCAAAACATTATATACAGATAATTAAAAACTATTTACCATCTTCTCAATCAACTTTCATGTAAATCCTTAATCTGCTACGAAGTAAAGTCAATGAACCTGCGTGTACAATGTCTTTAGGTAAGTTATTCCACATATTAACGATCCGTACAAAGAAAGAAAATCTGTAGCAATTTAGAATGGCTACTTTTACGTAGAGTTTATAATCGTGGTTGGCTCTAGTTCGATTACATTTAGTAAGTTCGAAAAAGTCAGAAAAAGGAAGACTATCTATTCCCAGAACTATCTTATAGAACTGGATCAGAGATAAATACTCTCTACGTTTCTCCAAAGTTTGCCAATTCAATAAGCGGCAGTGGTCTTCGCATTGTATTGGGGAATACAAACAAGTTTTAATGAAATCAGAAAATGCGAAAAGCTCAGTGTTACAATTATCTATGTGTAGAAACTCCAAGGCTTAAATAAGTGAAAAACTGTTGAGAAAAATTTCCATAAAAAAATAAATAGAATTTGATGGTCGCATGAGATGGCATGAGATGCTATGATATAGCTGCATAGTGCATACGAGTTTTTTCGTTACTCTGGCATACCCATCTTCTCCAGTTTTGTTGTTGTTGTTGTTGTTGTTTTTGTTTTTGGTCTTCTTTTTGCTTTTCTTTTTCTCACTAACGTTAATTCACAAGTGGAGGATCTTGAGTAAAAGGGGAGGGACTGACCACAGCGAAAAAAAACATTTCATATTTGACACCGGCCAGCTTTCTGCCAATCAGTTTAATTTTTTCGATGTGACATGGCGTGGTCAAATTTCAGTCCGAATGAGGTTCTTGATTGAACTGCCACCCCAGTTCTGAAAAATACGCAAATTTTATTCGCAATACCAACAGTTTAGGGTCCTTCGTGAAACGTAACTTTCTACTCTGCATCTTTTTTGGTTTCAGGTTAACAATTTTCAAGCGGTGTTGATTACAAATGGTCGTCATTCATTTGCCTTATTCAATTATAATCAAATAGTGTGGACAACGGGTACGGCCAGTGGAGGGACTGAGGACGGATTGGGTGGAAACCCTGCTCAGGTGAGTCTCTGAGTGTACCGTAATGGAAAATTATCAAGCAAAAGCAGTGAGAGAAGTAGGTTTATTTCTATTATCCTCTGTGGCAACAATATTGCACGATGTTACTATAAATGTATGGAACTGATGTAGATTTTACTTTGAATTACAGGGCGGATTTAATGCAGGAGATGGGGTAAGGTTCTTCATTATCCCTGGCTCCCGAACAAATGACATCCTTAATCTTCCTTCCACCTCCAATGTGGCCCGAGACGGTCAGTGGATGTTCCGAACCGATGAAGTGAGTGTGGAAGCTGGGGGATGCAACACAAAAGGTACATAATGTTGTTGACAAGTATTTAAATAAAGATTACGGAGTCGTTATCATAAGTCTGTGGATGTCGTAGGAGCGGACAAGCAGCGGACATACCTTAAAAAAATTAGACCAAGCAATAAGATCAAAAATAATGACTGAGTATTTAGTCTGTGGAAAAGAAAAACAAATTTAGGGGAAAGTAACTTTAAAATGAACTAGCTTTTCTTTTTTATTCTTACTTTTTTTAAATATGCGCGCATCTCTGTACTCAACGTTGTAGCATTTAGCGCGAATGAAAAATTTGCACTTTGTTCATCCCCTGCTCCGCAAAATATATTTCTTTAGAAAAGATCCCTCGAAATGAAGAACCGCAAAAAAAATTACTACATTTAGTGCTGCGCGCTAATTATTTTCTTTTTGCTAATTTTTTTGCTTTTCTGACTCCCGCCGTGGACTTCGCCGGAAAGGAGGTGCCGCTGGTAGTCTTAACAGTCCCCTGGGGACATGTCAGTCATTGCGAACCGCAATAGATTAAAACCACAGTAGTATTTTTGGTTTACACGCTGTCCTAACATTGTATTCTTCTGTTTTCTTCGTAATAAACAGGATCTCTGACCATATCGCCTCGATCAGGGATCATGTTAGGAGGTACAAACGTGAAAATGAGTGGGCCTTGCTTCACTGCGGATGATAACATTGTGGTTCAACTTGACAACGACGTCAACATTAATGCAACATTTAGCGATGAGCTAACGTCATCAGTTACCATACCCGTGTTGAACAAGACAGGACGACTATCATTCAAGTTATCTACTAACGGCGGTAATTCATTTGATTACAATGGAGTGTACACATCAGGTATTTCATCGAATATATATATTATTTTCAGTTATCCATTGAACTCGATTTTGTCATCAATCAAAAGCGTAAATTTAACGATAAATTTAAAAGAAAGAAGAGGAATTTGATTTTTTAGACGAACGTTTCAACGTAATTTTTGGTCGACAACCAAGCTTAATATTTGACTTCTTTTAAAAATATCTGCTCAAGCAACTTTCGCCATGGGATTCTATGGCCAAACCCACCAACAAGCTATATATGGCTCAAATAGTAGAGTATCAGATCGTAAAATGGAACCTCGCCGAGGCTCGAATCTTCACAAGGCCCTCAGATGCTTATAATATCTTTCAAGAACACCATGCACCACTGGCCACGACGGTCAAGTTTCCCGATAATTTAATTTCTTTCCTATGCATATAATCTCTTTTATTTTAGTTCCCATAAATCGATACACTCCCGAGGTCAAGCGAAAGGACGGTGATATATGGCAGGAGAATTCCACGGTAGACATTAGTTGGGACTCGGGAAGCATTGGCGGACTGGACGAGGAAGTATCGATTGATTTGGCGCGCTATAAAATGGGAGATGATGATGTTCCCGTACTGGACAGCTTTCGCGAAGTAGTAAACACTCAGCTAAATTCTGGACATAGTCAGTTTACGGTTACAAAAGGAGAGGGAGACGGGTAAGGGGGATTCATTTAGCAGTAATGTGCAGGAAAAAATCATTATTTTGTTGTGCTTTTATCATCTTATCGATAACTTTCTGCATGAGGCTGCATTGCCGTCCATTCGCATCAGACGCATATCTATGGACTGTTTGAGACGATATATGGATATAACGCAGCTATGCGTCTTCTAGGTCACTAAGCAGAGAACTCAGACGAAAACAGTTGCCAAATATTTTTCGGAGTTGTTTTAAAAGCCTGTTCGAAAGGAGCGCTCACTCTGTCAATTAAGACCTGATCACAAATCAGTTGTTACCTCAGTTGCAATTCACTTTTTGTTTTTGTCAGTGACTTTTAAGCTGCGCGTTTTGTGTCAGTAGAAAAGTGTTCTGTTCTAATAATCACAGCGAAAATGGTTTCGATAGCAACTGGTGGTAGAATGGCATATTTGAACAAAGTGTCTGGTAAAGAAGAAAGCGTTTGTGATAAAGTTGTAAGACAATTCCGCGAACCCGAGAAGCATGCTGACAAGTACTCTGACGACTTGGACGCTGTAGAAGAATTGTATTGTCAAGTAAAAAAAGATGCAGAAAGATTTCGGCTGAAGGCTGAAGCCGAGAAAGAGATGTTAAAGAGAGATGCTACCTTGAGAGCTAAATTGTATTCTTCCTTCATGGAAAAGAAAGAAAAACTAAACCGAAGGAGTGCCAAATAGGAGCTGAAATGCCCGGCTGAGGGAAAGATGCCTGAAGCAGCTGAGAATGCACATCGGCTAACTGTGACTGGTCGAGTGTGTCACTATGTCAGGATTGGATGTGCCTTGGTGTTTGACGCAGTAGCTGCGTATGGTCTCTTTCAGCTTACTCAGCCATACCTTTTTTAAATTACGGGGCCGGGCCCCTAAAAAAAGATGGGCCCATCGGTAAGGGATTGAATAGCTTACGAAGAGTTCCTCCCTTATGGCGAACTCCATTGCGCTTGCGAAAAAAGAAAACAATTGATGCTATTGCGCCGCACGGAATTCTTGGAGGGAGATTTCTGTTCTTTTACTTCTGACTCGAGAAAATCAGACCCTTGATGTCTACAGATAATTAATGAAATAATTGGTTTGGGTGTTTTTCTCATAGTTAATATTGTCTTTTCACCATTATTTTTAGGAAAATCGATGATCGTTTTATCAATCTTGTTCGAGTGTCAAGAAAAAACAGTTACAGTAATGTTTCTAAGTCTCAGTGGGTGTGGAGTGAAGTGTTTTCTTGGAAAAATGAGCCGTGGGCTGATCGTAGATGTAATAAATGGCATAAAAAAGAACCTAATCCAGAAAAATTCAGAGGTATTTATTAGAAACTTAATTCCATATGCCTTCGCGAAGGAAAAGATTAATGTAATGTTAATGGAAATATGCTCTCCCATAAAGTGGCAATTTTGGAATGATCTATCGATGCTTCTTAAAGAGAACAAATTTTGCGTTTTGAAGTCTAGATTTAATAGTAGAGCTGAATGGGTTAACGCTGAAGCTAACTCGAGTTAGAGGCCATTTTCCTGGAAGATAAATTTTTAGTCATTAACTTTCAGAAGTTAGCATTCTAAAAGAGTGAAGGGGAAGACGCACCCATTTTGCAGTAAAGGAGACGTTCTTGCACGCCAAAAATTAGCGGTTAGTTTTCGAGCATGTTAGAATCGTAGTGACAAAAGTAAATTAATTTTTTTGAAACATAAACTACTGTATTTTCTTATTCAGGAGATCCCAGCATGCAGCCCTGCCCTCTGAGGTTGACTCAGGCTATGGCAGATCGCGGGCGCTTCATGTCTGATGAGGAATGCAATCCCAAAAATCGCGAAGGATGTGATCGATTCCACAAAGGAGCTTTGCAATGTTTTTTAATGGTCAATCCTAGGTTAGTAGTTATTAACTTTCGTTAAGTCGAAGTTTACCAGCAGATATCATGGAGGAAGTGTCGTGAAATAACAAAGTCGTCTCTTCTAACTGTTGTGTTTAAGTAGCCACATTGTGCGAAGAAAAAAAGGAACTTATAAGGACAAAAGAGAGGCTAATTGCAACAAATTTTAAATGCAACTTGCCTCGATTTAATGCACTGGACCCAGTTCTATTTCTTTTCGTCCAAATATAGATAGAGCGTGAAGCACTGATTTACCTTTTTCTTCCATAGTGCCACAGGCTCTGGACAGCAGTGCTGCTATAACAGCTTTGGCAACTTAATGATGGGCCAACCAGATGCAGGGTCCCTCGACCGCGTTCATCCTAATGCTGGTCTCCCTGTGATATCCCATTTCTTCCACGATAAGGTGCCGTACGATGACTGCTGCCGCAATTCTAAGAATTGTGAAAAGTACTTTGAGAAGCGCCCTTCAGACGACGGCTCAAAATACCAAGCACCAAGACCCGGTAATTCTTAATTGATCAAAAAGTGTAATGCGGCAGGTAGATGAGGCGATAGCCTAACGGTTGGAGTGGACAAAGAGTGGTCGCCCGAATTGACGATCGAGAACGCAAACTGTACGAAAAAGCTGCGCATGCGCTGAGGAATGGCGCGGACCGGTTACTGTATTTCCGAATGGTATCAAATTTGCTCTGAAAATATACGAATGATTTGCATAATTTGGTAAACGCGACTTGGTGGTTCGGTTTGTTTATAAAAAGTCTAAACAAACACAAATCCCCTTACCGATCAACCAAAGCTGTGACAAATTTATAAATTTATGAATAAGTCAAATTTGGTTTGAATTATTCATAATTAAGTACATTACAGTGTAGTTTTTTCGTACAAATAAACCCAGTAGTCTCGATAACAGACCGCAGAAATGACGCGCACTGTCCACTTACCCGGGAACGGCGCGTAAAATGGCCGTTTACAGTGTTCAATTACTGCCCAATTAGAAGCTCATTACACACTTTGTTCTATTGATAGACAAAGCGGAATGCTAATGTCCAATGACATTCAGGCACTTTGTTTTATCTTTGATAAAAAGGGGGGAAAAACTAACAGTACTTTGATAGTAATTTTCTTTAGCAGTTCACGTTCTGTATTTCAATAAATACTTTTTTCCTTCCCCTATAGCTACCGGTTTTGGGGACCCACACATGGTAACCTTAGATGAGAAGCCATTTACGTTCAACGGATATGGCGAATACTTCATTTTGAAAGTGAAAGGGGTGGAATTTACTCTACAGGGGCGTATGGAGCCACTTTTAGCAGACGATGGATCTCCTTCAAAAGCCACGGTATACACGGCATTTGTAGCCAAGGAGAACGGATCAGACATGGTGCAGGTCAGCAAAATGAGGAGAGAGTACAAAAAAAGCGATTAATATATATATCTGTGGCGATGGACCACGCGCAAAATTGAAGTTTGGTACTGATTAAGTTTCACGATGTTATCATATCAGGCCATCATTGCCATGCTCGACACAAGGTAGCCTATTGCTTAGCATGTTGCGCGCAAGACCAATAGATCTAGACGGCTCCGGTCCAGGTTCACTCCTTGGCTGGGTCATCTAGTTTGCCCTCAATGGGCCCCTTTCTACCCAGGAGCATAAATCGCTAACAGGAAATTGGATCATCCTTGGTGTGGGCCAGCATGTCCTCAATCATTTGTGAATACAATTAAACTAATTGTTGTACTTGTTTAAACGCTAATCTCTTCTTTTGCTCAGTTTAGATCCAACTGAATGGTCGTGGCTTAGTGGATGTTTTGGTGAACGGGGAAAGAGTTGATTTTGATGAGCTCTCCCTTCTGGAATTCACCGGAGTCTCCGTGTTGTATTACATCAACACTACCAAATATTCCATCATTTTTAACTCCGGCATCTCTGTTACAGTTGAAGGGCAACAAGAGTTACTTGGTCTCGTGACTTTGGTGCCAACAATTTTTAAAGGTAAAAATCAAGAGAAACTCTCTCCTAAGTACAAATATTCGTCTCCGCAGTTTATTTTTGACGTTTGTGAGTCTTTCTAAAGAGCAGATTAGTCAAGTTCTTTACTCTAAGTTATTGACAGAGCTTTTCATCTTTGATTTATGGCTCAAGCGCGATGTGCCCAGGTCTTAAGCCGACGGGAAACGGTAATAAATTGTAAATCGCTGAAAAAACTGAGACCTACAAAATTTTCTGTAACGTGCGTCAAACTGGTTTGGGGAAACGATCCGTGGGGATTCGTATTTGAACAACACACTTCGAAAGCAAAACGAGGCTATTTGTTATTTAGCCTTAATTAATCGTTAACAAACAAGTTGAAGGAAACAAAGGATTCAAATGAGTGATTTTGGATGAAAAAGTATCCGAAGGATGGCCTCCCAAATTGACCTATCGAAATGCGTTTGGTAACTGTACGTGAGATTACATAGAAACGAAACAACATGACATACCCAACACCTTGAATAGACAGGCTGAAAAATCGAAGTAAGACCCAAACTGAAATTTAAATTCTTCATTGCAGGTAATACATCCGGTCTCCTTGGATACTGGGATGACAGCCAAGAAACGGAGTTCCTCAAACCCGACGGAACATTCCTGAATACAAATTCGAGTTTGGAAATCATACACAGGGAGTTTGGAAAATTATGTACGTAACTCAATTACTTCAAGAAAGCTTACTGCCAGTTATGATTGCTTTATGGTCTTCTTTATGTTACTCCAGGTTACGGAATAACCTTCCAGAGGTTCGCAAGTAATAGAAATTTCGCAAAGCCCTTTTCAAGATTCCTTAATCTATATATCGAAAGCCTATGGAGCTGGCTTTAAATATAATCTATCAGTTAGAAATACATTATGTCGAGGTGTTTTTTTGGTATTATTTTGTTTAAAAGATCTCAATAAAATTGATTAATTTGAATTTAAAACTACGTTGTTTAGGACTTTCAAAGACAGATATCTAAATTTTCCAATATGTATCAAGTTTCTTCCCTCGTTCTCTTAAAGGCTAACAAAGTAAGAAAAAATAACGAGACTAGAGTCACACAGGAAATTCCAAGGATGTTGTTGAATAGCTCTTTTCCCT